GAAAAAATTAGCAAGTACACAGAACTCGCCCAGGAAATAAGGCATCTGTGGAGGATGGATAGGGTGCTTATTGTACCTGTCATTCTCTCCTGTACAGGTGTGATACCACACACACTACACAAAAGCCTGGGAACATTACAATTGAATAGAAATACATACATCACACTACAGAAGGCCACTATGTTGAATACATGCCACGTTGTTAGGAAATTCCTGAATACGGACACTGACACTGACACACTTATTTAATTTTAGTTTTGTTTTGGATGCTATGTCTGACTCTGGTCAGGCATAGTACACAGCCATCGGTGTGAACCGAGTATAACCCACTAAACCCAACATAATAATAATAATAATGAATTTATTTATAGCTTTATTTAAAAATAATTAATTTTATGTTGTAAACATAACGATTTTTATATCATATGGTACATCGTTTAAATATTTAAAAATTTGGAACACAGCTGTATTCGAAGGTTAGAAGTTTTCAAATTGTAGAACTGTTTTTGTGTGTTTCGTACATTCCTGAGGAGGGCCTCTAAAAGATAGCCAAAAACTTTCAAATATTAAAATTTTTGTTCAATTACTGCTGGAATTAACATTTAGGTGTGAATTTTTGTATTCTGCATTGTATTCAATTGTTCTGAAATTTAAAATTATATTAAATTTCTTTAATTACTGTTTTATTTTTTCAAAAGTATTTTTTAAATATGGGAACTTAAATAAAAAATAATTTTTTAAATTATTTTTTATTTAAGTTTCCATATTTTTAAAAAGGGAATAAAATTATTTTAAAATAATCAACACACCTTAGTAATTCCGGCAATGAAGTATTTAATAAAATAAAAACGTTTTAGACTATACTTAATAGTCTTCTTCAGATAACCTCTTTAAAACAAAAATGAACATAAAATAGAACACAAGCAATACAACGGTTTAAAAATTAAAATTAATTACGTAAAACGTAAATAAAATGTTAAAAAAACGTAAAAAATTATAAATAAAACATTATGAAATAAATTAATGGTGGTAAACAAAAAATAATACAATAATAATAATAATTAATCGTCATGGTAAAAAAATTTCCATGCGCAGGATAGACTATCTGTGTCTCTATGGTTGATGCATCCTTTGTTAATATGTGCCTTGTAAATTTCAAGTTTTTCAATATGTTTAAGGACTTGTTTGTTGGTGGCTGTCCTAATTATGGATGCTTTGTCCCAATGTACTGTACATTAATATCTTGNCCTTTGTTGATATGCGCCTTGTAAATTTCAAGTTTTTCAATATGTTTAAGGACTTGTTTGTTGGTGGCTGTCCTAATTATGGATGCTTTGTCTCAATGTACATTAATATTTTGATGTTTAGTGAAGGCTGCAAGGACGGTGCTGTCCACGTTTTTAGTAATAGAATATTTATGTTCTTTAATCCTCTGTTTTAAAAATCTCATGGTGGCACCAACGTAAACGAGTTCTGAATTGAAACGGCAGTCACTTAAAGGAATAGAATATTCCTTAAAGGAGTCACTTAAAGGAATATTCTATTCCTTTAAGTGACTCCTGTACTGTTGTTACGGTTTCCTTTCTTCTTATCATTTCGTAAAATTCTATAAATTGTCGGATTACGACGATAAATAACTCTTAAAATATTTTTGTGATATACTTTTTTAATCATCGATTGTAGGAAAGGTATATAGTTGAGGACTACTCTTGGTCCTTGGCTCTTAGTTATAGGTTGCTTGTTTGTTTGATTACAAAATTTATCAATAAGAGCATTAATTTCACTTATACGATATCCCTGTTGCACAGCTATTGTACGTATGTTATTTAATTCTCTGTGTGTGTCAACTATACTCGTACAGTGGGTATAGGCCTGCTTTATCCATGATCGAAATGCTGCATTCTTAAAATTGTGAGGATCAAAGGAATTCTTCGGTATAATAATAGGTAGATAGCTAGGCTTTCGATAAATATGTGTCCATATTTCCCCATATTTACAAGTTATGGACAGATCCAGAAAATTTACGTTAGTGTCACTTTTCTGTTCCAATGATAAAGTCACACCATATGGGTTGTTATTCATTTTGTTAAGGAAATATTGAGCGCTATTATCATTCCTCCAAATGTTGAAAACATCATCAACGTATCTTGCATATACAAGTATGTCATTTATAAAGACGGACAGTACATTGCTTTCTAATCGTCGTAATACTAGTTCACATAATAACGGAGATATCGGACTCCCCATTGGAACTCCTCTTTCTTGTAAATATGTGTTCCCTTCAAATGCAAAAAACGAAGTATAACAAATTAGGTGTGCAAGCTCTAAAATATGTTGGTGGTACTTCGTTGCATTATTAATGTTAGTAAGAAGGAAGTTTCTCAGCTCGCAAAAACAAGGCGGTAATTTTATAGATGGAAATAAAGATTTAAAATCCATCACGGTCATAACTTTATTATCTTCAAGGTTAATGTTTCGGAGCTTGTCCACCAGTTGAACAGAGTTATTAATAGCATATGGGTAATCTTGAATCCTTGGTCGGATAAATTTAACTAGTTGTTTCTCAATTGCAAAAGTAGGGGATCCGCATTTCTCTATAACAGGATGTATATGGCAATCAGGCTTATGAGTTTTGCCAAAGGCGAAGATTCTAGGTGTTCTTGGTGCTTGTACTACAGAGTTATGCATTCGCAAATAGCGAGCTAAAGGGGTTGAAGAGAATTTTTTAACTCTTTGTTGTAGTGATTCTAAATATTTGTCAGGAGCAGGTTTGCACTCGGTGTCTCTGATGTATTCTTGCAGTTTTTGGTTGTAGGAATTTCTTTTAATAAGAACTACTCTTTTGGATTTATCAGCTTTGATCAGCACTACATCATTTTTATGTAGCCATTCTCTTGCGTTTTTAATGCAATTGTGGAACTGTCTGCTCTTTATATCGGCACTTCTTTCTTTAGCGGTGCTGAATCTTGTTTCCCATCTTACATATTCTTGACTGGTAATATTCAATTCTTTAATAATCGTTTCAATATTGGGAACAATAAATTCCGGGGTTGGTAAAGGAGCAGGAGCAAACAATGGACCATATTTTAACGCTTCCAAGAGACACTTAGGAGGTGTGATATTATCCCATGCCGTTATAAAATCATTATTACTAAAACGAGGTTTGACATTCTGGTAACGTAATAACCATTTGAGTTTTTTGACATATTTATGTTTTACACATTTTTCATATGAGCAGGCTAAGTTGACTACTCTTTGGTTGACATCCATAAGAAGTAGGTCCTTCTTATACAAATCTTCTAATTGAATTAGTTTATGTAATAATTTATGTAATTACGTAATTAATTTTAATTTTTAAACCGTGGTATTGCTTGCGTTCTATTTTATGTTCGTTTTCGTTTTAAAGAGGTTAACTGAAGAAGACTATTAAATATAGTCTAAAACGTTTTTATTTTATTAAATACTTCGTTGCTGGAATTAGTAAGGTGTGTTGATTATTTTAAGCATTTATATTCCAGTAAGTTATTTTATTTTATTAAAAAAATATTTTTTTATTTCTTTCCTTATTTTTACTGTATACAAAGTGTGACAATAAAGTTTAGTTAAATGGAAATGTTACTGTTAAAATGAGTGATTTTGGAAAGTAAAATTATATGCAGAGTACAGCCCAGACATTGCACTAACAAGTTGGACTTGTTTTTGATTGGTTGAAATCTGTAGCGTGTGCACATGCTTGATTACATGAGCTGTGTATGAGATGGTTGTCATTATCAACAAATGGAACAATGAATTAACGTCAAGTTCTGCTTTAAGTTGGGTAAAATTGCATTACAAACTCTTGACACGTTGAAAACTGTTTACAGAAATGAAGCAATGACAAAAATGTGTGTTTTTATGATTGTTTTTTTCACAAAAATGTTTTAAACTAAATCTCTTGAAGATGCTTCCTGTAGTGGATGGCCCACAACCTCAAAGTCATCTGATAATGTAGAAAGATTATTTCTCACAATCAAGTGTAATATAAATGACACAAGACTTTCTTTACATCTGTTTAATTCTTTTTTTTCATATGCTGAGACGCGTTTCAGGTTTTTACCTCTCTTCTATTGGCTACAAACAATCAAAGGATCTAATGATTTACAATGTGATATTTAAAATAACAATTATTTAACAAAGAACATATCTTTTTCCATTTAGGTGTTATACATTTAATTTTCTGAAAATGTATTTTAGTGTGGTTTTTGCCTTTAAAACACTAAAATACAAGGGTAGTCCAATATTAAAGGTACAGGCCAAAATTACACTAACATTTATAATTAAAGAAAATATTTAATACATTCCACAAAAACTACATACTTTTGTTTTTCTTGACATAATTGCTGTAAACATCAAGATATTTATTCCAGTGTGACAATAATTTGAACATCTCTTCATGGTACTGTTGCTTGAAGTAGTCCAGTAGGGTGTCTTCCAATTCTTCCTGATCTGCAAAGCATTTCCCCACCAAAAATTTCTTTAAAGGTCCAAATAAATGAAAATCCTCTTTCAATTTAACATTGTTAAATTAGCTCCAACCTATGATAAATTACATTTCAGAATAAAAAGAAAGCAGTCAAAAAAGAGACATCATGACCTATCCACACATCACTGCTGATAAAATTTTTAGCCAAGAACTTGATGCCTCTTGTTTCCAACCTCCATATTCATCAGATTAAGCCCTAGCAGATTTATTTTTGTTTCCCAAATTAAAATCCATTCTCAAAAGTTGCCATTTTGAATTTATTGATGCCATTAAAAAATTTGCTAGCATTGCTGCACATTATCCACAAAGTGTTCCTTTCATGGCAGAAATGCTGCAATTAGTGCATAGACTCAGGAGGGAACTACTGTGAAGGTGACAAAACTGAGTAGCTTCTATTTTTAAAGGAAAGTATGATGACAGGAACAAACCACTACAAATTTGAGATAGAGAGCATATATTTTAAATTAAATAAATTAAAAATTACAGCCCAGCACTGTCACAATAAATATTTGCTTATTTTCTATTTTCTACATAAAAAAATTATATACTGCTTTGCATTCATAATTTTATATACCAGTATTGTCATAGTAATGCATGTTGCTTTAACAGTGCCAGCAGATTTATGGTGATTATTATTGATGTCACATTAGTGGTGGCTGTGGAATTATGAATAAAATATGTAAAAAAAATACATTTGTATTTTATTTTATATATTTTTAAATCTGGGGATGGAAGAGATGATCTCTTTTCAATGAAGAAATTGAAAATATATTCTAATTTATAGATATAGTTTATAAAATATTTTTTCATTAGAAGTACATGTAGAGCATTGATTATTTGAATGCTGATCAACTGAAACATTGGCATGCTGAATTGAAAATTTTCAATACTAGATTAACTTCTAAAGTATAATTTATTTTATTATTATTATTGCCTTACTGTCCTTATTTAATTTTTTATTATATGTTTGTCAACATGGACATTAATTATTAACAGGATAATTATACTGATGTTATGATTTTTACACAAGAATTGAGGAAAAAGTTCTTAAAGAAAACAGACTTTCTTTATTAATCTACCTGTAGCTTAATTAATTAATAAAGAAAGTCATTAGGCTTAACATAGACAAAAATTCAGTGCGAAGTGACAGGCAACAGAGAAAATTTAAACATGGGATATATTAATATGCTATTATTAGGTTATACATATTAGTAATATTAGTAATATATTAGTAATATTAGTAATATTAATAATAATATTAGTAATATATAGTAGTAATATTAGTAATATATTAATAATGTATTTTTTCGTACATAATCGGTTATCCGAAAAATCAATTTTCCAAACAACCCCAGTCCCCAATTGATTTGGATAATTGACGCTCTACTGTACAGAATGATTGATTGAAAAAAGTTAAATGAAATAATTTTATAGTTTCATATTAAAGACATTATGGAAACATTTTTTAATTTCTATCATAATGAATGATAGAATAAATGTTTCAAATATATTTTGTTACATTAAATATTTGAATAATTTCAAATAGTTAAATGTTTTTAATTCTTATACTTTTATAAATAATTGTATACAACACAGTGAATGTTAACTGTTCAAATTGTTGATGATATATATATTTTAATATTTAGAGTTGATAAACTAACTTTTTTGTAGATTTTGTTATTAATCTCCTGTTGTAGTTGCTTTATTGAAGCCTAATGTTCCAACTTACATACTATGTTTCAGTTACATATATTTTCATTCAATTGTTTTACTGATTCAAAGTATGTGTTTTTATAGAGACAAATGGGAAATCATCTATCCAAATCATTTTTAATGAGGGAAAAAGATAAGAACTAAAAACATGTAAAAATCTGAAAACATTTGAAATTAACTTTCGTCAAATATTATTATTTTAGGAAGGTTTTCTTCTAGGAGAAGTAATAAGTCATATTACTGATACAATCAGCGACTCGCAAATATGTAGCGAAAAAGAAGAAACCAGTTTAAGTAAGATTTCATTTGCTTTTATTTTGAAGTATAAAATTATTCTATAGCAATTTCTTGTTTAGGTTAGCTGCTCTCTAATACTTTTTAATATATATATTTTTTTCTCCCAGATATTTACACAATTGTGCCTTGTGAAAAACCATTTTCTTTTTATGACAGCAGTGGAGCAATTAAGCAACAAGCACTTGATTATATTTTACAAGGAAGGCATAAGGTAAGAATGATTTAATTTCAAATTTTTATTTTGTATAGTAATTCCTCACTTAAAATTGTTTAAGTTTGATGAGAAAAATACATTTGTAATCATTTACAATTATTGTTGAACTTACATCCACATTCACATTACATTAACAACATACTATATCATTTAAATTGTAAATGAACTTTCTCTCTTTACATTTGCCATTTTAGATTTTTATGTATTCTCTAACCTGTTGGAATTGCTTGTTTATTTTTGAACTACGTGATGGTATTTGCCTTACAATTTATGCTTTGCAAATATTTATTCTTTAATATTCATATTTATCTATCACCAACAATGAGGATAAGCATCTATCCCTGTAAGTACTGTACATCTTTATTACAACTTTCTTCATTCACTGATTATCCAAAAGTTGGGTAATTATCCTACTGGCTGGATGGCCAAGGTGGCTAAGGCAGCAGATACTCTCTGAGACCTAAGATCAAAACCTAGCAAATGAAAATCCCTGGAAAGTTTTCATTAGTGGTCTATCCCAGATATGTTAGGTGACCAAGTGGAAGGGATAGTTCTTTCTTGTAAGCCTGGACAAACCCATAACCATGGAAAAAGGTCCTCTTAGTTCCCATGGGAAAAGTGTCAAAAATGGGAAAAAATATATATTTTTTAAATGCATGTACAGTACAATTCATATTTATTTGTGTTTTTAATATTGAAATGTTTTATGTTTTTATCTAGAAGTTTGGTGATATTTTTTTGACAGAAAGAAATGCCATAGAAACTTAATTATTGTTTATATCTATTAGCTATGGTAAAATTTGGTTTTACAATAGGCTAATAGATGATGGGCCCACCAGTGGCCGAGTGGTCTCCGTTGCCGCTCATAGCGTTGGTGACTGGACCCTAAACACGGGGAAGTTCGGTTGTGGGTTCGTGCTGCGATCGGACAGGCTGGCTGCTTGGAGTTTTCCGGGTTTTCTCCTTGCCAATAACGACTAAATAGGAGGCCAGTTCCCCATAAAAGTCCTCCCGGAAGGCATTCTTTCCCCACGCGTGCGTGACACATCATTCAAGGAAGAAGGCAATGGCAAACCACTTCCTCAACTCTTGCCAAGAAAACTACATGGACAAGAAAAGACTTGTCCATGCAGTCACCAGGAGTCGACGACGACTTGATGGAACTTAACAACAAAAATAGATGATGAAATTTTTTTTCTTTGCTTAGTATATTTTACTTTCCTGGCACTGTTATATATAATAGAGGGAAAGCAATGCAATCAGTCAAAAGGTGACCCCTGCCAAGAATTTTAGATTTGGGACATTGAAACTGAGAAATGCAAAAAAAAAAATTTTTTTCTGTATGGATGTTAGTGTGTGAAGGGACACTATTTTATTCACTCTTTTTGAAGCTTAATAATGCCCATCCTTTTTCTCAAATTTCTGAAATTTTGCAGGGAGGTTTGTGTATTAGGGGTAGTAATTAGATGCTATTAAATTTTGGTGGTAAAAGGTTGAGGGGGTGGCAAGATAAAGGGGATTGTGTATCATACCTTGAGTAGGGTCAGACTTAATTGCAATTTTACTCATTATTAGCATTTGCAATATTTATAAAACTCATCCCTACTCTGAAAATTAAGCTTTTTGCCATTTTGCAGTAATTAAAAATATAAAAAGTTTTTAATAAAATATCACAACAGATGGCACCATCAAAATTTTAAATATTGCTGGGAAAATGAAGCTTAGTTCACACTGAGCACAATTCACTAGTGAAAGTGAAAAACAGAGCGAATAACCCGTCAAACAAGTCATGTTTGACGGGTTATTCGTTCTGTTTTTCGCTTTCGCTAGCGAATCACGCTCAGTGTGAACTAAGCTTTAGGCAACTTGTTGCTGGATTTTTTTAAAGCAGATGTTTGAATGTGTATTCGTAAATTTTATCTTAATTTTTTTTATACTATTTATTCAGATAAGTCATATTTTACAATAAATATAAAGATAAAACAAAAATAATAATAATTTTTAATGAATATAAATGATATATGATAAAACAAAATTTTATATTTTTTACTATATTTTCTTTCAGGAGGTGCTGGGATGGTATAAATTCAGAAGGAATACAAGTCTGGAAGTATCTTTAAGAGAACAGAATGTACACACAAATTTGTCACATATCTTAGTCTCAACATATGAAAAATTATTTATTTTTTGTCTTTTTCCCCATTATTTGTCCTCTAATGAATCAACTCATTCCTTTGATCAATGTCTTCCTTCGGAACACTGGAATGTAAGTATGATTTAGTTATTATTATTTTATTATTATGTTTTGTTTTACTTAAGTTAGGTTGTTGCAATGTAATAATTTTTCTCATTTACATTTCAGTTTCCAAAACAATATATCTAAATTCTCTCTTATGTTATTGCAAAACACCTTTCTCACTTTTTCTGGTAAATTTTTTAATTAAATTAAACAAACTAATGTTTTCAGCTAGTAATTTAATTTAAAGATTTGCTAGAAAAAGTGATAAAGGTATTTTGCAATGATATATTGAAGTTCTAGCTTACTGTGCATAGAATTTTCTCTTATGTTTTATGATGTAATTTTTAGTATATTTGTTATTTTTATCTAATAAAAATATTGATGTAATTGTTGTCTTCTTTAAATTGAAAACTAGAAATTTATTTATTTTATGACATCATTCAATTGTTTTGAAGAAATTTTTCTTGGTAAGAATATTTATAGTTTAACATATTTCATATATGTTTGTATAAACAAACATATATGAAATATATTTTTAGACTTTGTCCATTAAAATTTTTTTTTTGTTTTTAAACCATAATTTTAAATTAAACTTTGTTTTATTTTAAAAAGCTTTATAAATTTCTTACTCTTTTTCAAATTACTTTTTTATTATTTTTTTTTGTGAGAATTATTGAAATATTTTTTTGATATTTCTCAGGATGATTACAAAAATATCTTTTTGAATTTTAACATGCATCTTTTTCATATTTGCAAACTTAGTTGAAGTAGTCTAAAATTCAGAGTATTCTTTATAAACAAACTTTGAAATTTTTATTATTATTATTTTATAGTATTTTCTGTTTAATCATGGATTATTTTAGATCTAATGTTAATGTTTTTATTCTTCAATAAATTCTTTTAAACTTTATTTCTAATTAAGCTATTAAAAAAATATATATTTATTGTTGAAACTTTAAAAAAATTTACTAGAAGATAAAATTTTATTGTTTATTTTATACACAAAATATGTGTTACATTTGAAGAAAGATTTTAAAATAAGCTTAAAATAGAAAATTTCATATAGTAAAGATCTGATTTTCATAGACATTAGAATGGTAGATTTACTTGATCTCCTGTTTTAATTTTATATTAAGGAAATATTATAACTAACATTTTTTTTTATTATTATAACAAGTAGGTAATAAGATTTTTCTTGTCAAAATGTTTGCACCCATCCTCTAAATTTTTTACATTTTGGTCAGAATTACTCAAATATGAAGTTTTATCTCAATAGGATGACATAACCCATGCTGATTTGAGCGTGAAACTTGACTACTAGGAATGATTGACGAGGGGGATATTAAGCAGCAGTAAAAAAATTAATAACTAAGAAATATAACATTTTATTAAGTTTTTGATATAGTAGTAGTTTGTAACATTCAATTACAATATAAACAACTATGCATACTTTCTTTTTTATAATCTGGATATATCCTTTGATTGTCTTGTACACAACACAAACTCATTCTTCATTCACAGTCAATAATTTTTGCAGTAATTTAACAGCTTTTTCAGCTTTTAACATGTTAAATGTTGGGGCTGATAAATATGAAGTTTTTTTCCACATTGAAGGACATTCCTGGAGAAAACTTGTATCCATTTGTAGCTGAGAAAAAGTCCTTTACTTTGAATTGATACAAAGTCATCAATTGTTTTCTCTAAAAATGAGAAACAAATTAATGAGACAAGGTAAATAAAAGTATGCTACTACAGTAAAAAGGAAGTAAACTTACTGAATAATTTGCTATTCATTTCTTCATGCAGCGGAATAAATTTCCTTCCCATATATCAATGTTTTCTGCCCAAATTGATCAATGTTTTATTTTTGGTTTGAAGGTCAACATCATCAAAGAGAAATAGAATTGCCAGTTCTTCGGATACATACAAGTTTGGCTATGCTTCTTTAAAGCTACTGTAGAAATGGTTGTATTTATCACTTTATGATTTTAATGACTTTAAGAAGCAGAGATCTTGATTATGGGCATTTACAGATGCACTGCACTTAAGAGAATTATCACATAAAGCTTCCTCTTTTCTGATGGAGAGTTTAAGTTCTGACCTTAGATGAAACATTTTTAGGTAATAAATTGCTCTTGCAATCCATCAAGCTTGATGCATAGCCTTCTCACTTTTCCCAAAAGATCACACACTCATGAACTCCAAGATTTGCACTCTCATTTATAGTTAGCTTAACCTCTCGTATGTTGTAAAATAAAACAGTCAGAACTCTTCTATTTGATGGCAGTTTGCTTCTGATTATTTGGTGTTTTTCGTTCCCTATCAAAAACACTATCCTTGGGACTGTGTAATTCATGTGACATGGTTAAAAGATACACAAATATACCTAATATGGCCAGAAACTGAACACAAACTGACAATGCTCAATGTATAATGACCAATTCAGTCCTAAGCGAAGCGTGGCATGTCTAGATTTGTTTTTGACACATTGACGCTCAAGTCAGCATGGGTTAATATTCATTGATCACTGAGAAATTAAATACAGTATGTACATGTTTTTGAATGAAAAGAAAAAACTGGGCAGGTGGTCATTCAAAAAATTTTGAAGTTGGAAAGTAAGGGGCACTAGTATACATGTGTACTTTGTGTACAATACATATGGTGCCAAAAGATGACTTTTTTGTATTTCTGGAGTGCAGTTTGATTTCAATTTTTAACATATGTTTACCAGAACACATTCAAAGTTTAAACAAATACTAATTATTTTGAATTATAAAATATAATACTTATATCAATTAACAGATCTATGTGATTATATCTAATATAATGTTATCAGGATTTTATGAATATTTTAAAAATATTTTCACTCATCCACATTATTGTAAATACATTTACAAAACAATAAATCTGTGGAAACCTGATATTTGTGATGTATAATTTTTCTTTCTGATTGCAAGTTTTAATTATTTATAATTTCTAAAATTTTTTGAAATTGTACTGAACCTAAATTATAAATTTTCGTCTATAAACAAGCATTCACTAATATCAGGACTTATTATACTGGCTTAATAGACAATACAGAGTTTCACAGAAACAATTTTTATTTAATATTTAATATACCTGTATATTAAATATATTAATTATTACCAGGTATATTAAATATTAAATAAAAATTGTTTTCTGTGAAACTCTGTATTGTCTGTTAAGCCAGTATAATGAGTCCTGATAATAGTGAATGCTTGTTTATAGAAGAAAATTTATAATTTAGTAAGAAAAGGACATTGAGGCATTTTAATTAAATTGTACTGAACCTGTTTAAGGTTTTATCAGTTAATCAGTATTCAAAGTAGGCAAAAGTGCTTTTTTTTTTAAAAATGGAACAATTATAACATTGTTCTGTTTATACATTATGTAAAAATGTTTTCTTAAATTTAATTTGACCATTTTTTATTGAAAAATTAATAAAATTCCCCAACTAAGTGACATAAAGAAGTCAAATCAGACTAATTTATTTAGTTTTTTTTTAAAAACCAAGTTTTAAAAATAATGATAATTCCAAAACAGGAACCATCAATTTCAAACTGAGATGTGAAAGCCTTGTCCAAGTTAGTTATAAGTAAGAATAATACTTTATCTATAAATACATTAATTTTTGTTAATTGGTTTTATCTGGTTTAAACTACTAAGGTAAATTTCATAGATTGAGAGGTTAGGGTGATTTTATACTATGACTGACTACACAGAGCAGTCATATACAACCTGACCAATCATATAATCAGATCAACAAAAGCATTCATATTGATTACATTTATATTGGAAACTGATTTGTTATGGCCAATCAGAATGCCTGTTAAGAATTTAAATAACAACCAATCATTTTAAGTTTTTCTAATTTAAAAAAAATATTTTTACAACATTTGCCAAGCAGATTATAAATTTGCAGTTATTATTTTACTTTGAATTTATTACCATCTTTTTCATCTTACCATCCATTATTCCATCTTTTCCATTTATTACCATCTTTTCTCATTTACATAGATTTTCATAAATCCAAAGTGATTGGTTGTAACTTCAAAGCCCTCAATGGCTGTAGCTCACCAACTGTTCCAACTCAACTACAAATATTAATTTTTTAAATCTGCCTAACTAAAACTACTAGTCAGTTCAGTTTATCATAGTATGAAATTGCCATTACTTTGTGGCATTATATGAAGAATCTGATGAAAGCATAGGGAGTGAAATTTGCAAAATTTGAGTGCACCTAGTGAAATAAAACATCCTGAGTTTAACTGAGATTTAACCTAGAAGACAAATATATTGGTAATCATATAATTGTAACTTTTGAAGAGATACCATCTTATTCACTTCTGTTATAATTCATAGTAGTATGTGTATAAGTGCAAAAGAGTTTGTTGGAAAATATTGGTAATGACCTGAAGAAGACAAGAAATGGCTAATTTGCTGTCTTGATCATTTTATGTTATTGCTTTTATTTGAAAAATGAGTTTCTGCATTCAATATCACATTATCAGCAAGTTTTTACTTGTGTTTTTACAAGTGTTTTCATGTTTATGGTAATAATAAAAACCATTAGGTGACTAAATAATTATTATTTTTTACTTTGATGAATAAGATTATTTTATTCATCAAAATATTCACTTTCACATCCAATTTCACAATTATTTCACTTTTTCAACAGGAGAACAATTTGAAAATTATCATTTCTATAAATGATTTGAATGGCTCCTGAAAAAATATTCCTTTGTGTTTTGTGGACTGAGGGGTATTGTTAATCACAAATATTTAAATGGTCAAACCTTCACAGCAGATTTGTATAGTGAGCAGCTACAAAGAGTATATGAAAAATTAAGGCTAAAACATATATATTTGGCAAATCATTGTTGTTTTTTGTTTTTTAAAAGATAATGCTCACTCTCACATTATAGAAATTAAAGAAACAAATAATGCAATGGGATAGGAACTTTTACCTCATCCTTCCTATTGTACTGACTTATCATTGTTGGATTACCACTTTTTTTTATCTTTGGATAATCATATTCATGGAAAACAATTTGCAAATCAGAGCTGTAAAAAAGTAACTCAATTAATTTTTTAATGCTAGAAATGGTATTTTCAAACTGCTCTCCCATTGGGAAAGTGTAATTGAATATGAAGATGAATATTTTGAATAAAATTATTATAAACAAAATACAAGCATTTTTATTCACATTTCAAAAACAACATTATTTGGCTACCTGATATTTAGTGCTTATTGAAGGATTAAAAATTATTTTTGTGAGAATTAATAAATAGTATTCCTAATGAATAATTTTTGTTTTCCCTTTTTCTTTCTATTAGCAACTGCCACAGGATAACAGTGTAACATAGAGTTCACTTTAGATTTATGCAGTAAACATGCTGTCACTAAGTTACTGCAAATGATGGAGTAAAATTGTGACAAAATATTTTCTACAGTATTGTTTAAAAAATAAATTAACAATTAAGAACTCATTGTAAAGAGAGGGGAATGTTAAATATTCCTAAAATAACTGACATCTTTGTCAAATTAATCCCAGTTTATGGTATTTATTAAAAGCTTTTTAATTTTAAAAAATCATTATACTGAAAAAATAGATTTGTCTAAAAATGGTATGTTTTCAAAAAGTGTTAAGTGAGGGAAAGATGTATTGTAAAGAACTGTCTAAGATATAACATATATATTCCAAAAGATAGTCAGTGATTTATTAAATTATAAATTTGAAAAACCATTGATGAAATGATCAATGGTTTTTCAAATTTTTCAAATGGTTTTTCGAAACTGGTAATAAAATCTTTTCAAGGACTTTTCATTTGGCATTTTGTTGTTTATTGTTATGGAAAATATTTAAAAATTTTTAAATAACAAAGATAATGTGAATATTAATTAAAATATATTAATGTAGTTAAATGTTTAAATAATTGTTGTTGTTGTTGTTGTTAAAGATTATTATTGACATAAATTTAAGACATTTTTTTTTTTAAATGTGGATTTAAAATCATTTAAATCAAGTTAATTTTATTTAAATTTAGGTGTTTTGAATCAGTTCCATTGAAAGTAATAAATTTAGGTGGAACAAGTCATTCAGAGTATCGTCTATATCCACCAGCAGCTATTAACATTCACTCAGGTCACTACAGCCAAGTTATACATTCTTCAAGGTAACTTTGTTTTGTATGTATGTAAAAATAATGCATATTGCTTTAAAAAATGTTAATAAAGAAAATATTATTCTTATCTAAAATATTATTTTGTAGAATATGATTACAGAAGTCATTTGTAAATTAAAATAAATAATANACTATATATACACTGGTGTGCAAAAATAAGCAACAATTGTTTTTTGCTGTAACTCTGCAATAAATCACCTGGGAGACATGAAATTCAGAATATAGAGACAGTATTTTGTACTTAAAGGATGAAGAAAGCATACCATTGCAAAAATGAAGAAAATGCATACAGTATGGAATCAAACAAAAAAAGGCTTTATTGAAAGAGTAGCATTGGTATATGAAAGAGTTGCAAGCCCTCATGTCATTTGTGAAGTCATCTTCCTGATATTTACATATGAATCACCTTTATACTGAATTGGTACTGATTGCAACAAGCCCTTATCTACAATTTTGTGGCTATCTGCTTAAAAATGACACCGTTGCTTAAGTTTTGCATGCCATTGTATATATCAATTGATCAACAGTGTGAATTGTATAACATATTGTATATATGCAATAGGTATAAAATCATCAATTATAAATTATAATATTAAGAAACACCTTCCTCACTTTTTCTAGTAAATTTTAATTAAATGAACTAACATTTTCAACTATTTAATTAAAATTTGCTAGAAAAAGTGAGAAAGATGTTTTTTAATATTATCTAGAAATTCTAGCTTACAGCGCACAGAATTATAAATCATAACTTTTTTGCATTAGTGATGTGACTTTCATAATATTTTCTTACTGCTAGAGTCAAAATCATTTAAGAAAAAAGAGAAAAAAATTAAACTTTTCTCTTTTTTCTTATTTTTAAGAAATGAAAATATATTTAATTTTTATTCAAACATGGAATAATAGTTTTTTTCAGTATTTATTTTTTTACGACTTTTTGTTTGTTTTGTTTATGTACTTAAATGTGATGATGATGATGATGATTTTAATATTTTATGAAACAAATTGAGATTTCAGATGTTTAATTTCTACTTCATGTTATATAAATTAAATATTTTTATAGGTTAGCTTCAAATGTATGTGATGTTAGTGTCAGACAAATTCAACAAGTACATTCTGCACTTCAGTCAAAATTAGAGGTATGTCTTTCTTTTATACTTAGTGCATTTTTTAGAACTAGTATAGTCTAGATCAGAATAGAGATCTAGACCAATGTTTTTAACACAACAATCATGTCTAATTTAAAATCATCCTTTGCCCAATGTTCTTGATGGTGACATTGACAACATTCTGTTTGACTTCTACTACTCATGGCAGGACCATAGATAGTTTTCATGCTTATCATATACAACAATACTTTGTTCTCTGAGAGATTTCCATTTTCATATTTAATTGCATTCTTGGCTTCACAGCAATGCTCATAACTAACAATTGCATATGCCATATTTGTTCCATACTCCATGTTGCATGTTAACAATCTTCTTGTAAAGATGGCACCTTTGGGGAGACACCACAGTGAGGATTGTCCCCATTTGTAAGGATGCGGTGTACCCGAACCTTAACTCGCACGGAGGTCGCCCTTAAGGTGAAAGGTTATGACCCACGCTTTTCCTGTGATCTGTCAGGATGACACGAGAAAGCCTTTTCTGTATGGGGGTAGTGGTTTGCTGGACGCAAAGATGACTCACACAGAGACTGAAATTCCAAATTCAGTGCGTTTATTTGTATGGAAAATCATGCTTACAATGAGTTACACAAACGGCTGATCGAAAAGCGTCCGTCACTGAAGAGGAGCTTGCCGTATAGTTTGTTTTCCATTGATAATGGTCGGCACAGACAGAAAGCAGAAGAGAGTCCGCTTCTTAAGAGTCGTAAGTAGAGGCTTGGAGGTTGGAGGGATGAAAAATTGGCACTGGGAAGTCGAGTCCTAGTCCCTTCCGTCTGCTTCTTGGGAGATCTCTGGGTTATTCCGGATCCTTTCTCTGAAATCGTCGTTCTCGATCTCCAGCTTGCAACCTCTCTGTGTCCTTGGGATCTTGGCCTTTTATAACCTTTGTCTTCCTGAAATCCCGAGATTTTGGTTGGTTCGAATGTTGGTCCCCTGCAATTCTATTTGTCCCTGGTCTGTTGCCAGGGACGCAATTCAGGCCGAGGGGTCACTGAATGTCCCCGTCTGGGCCGTTCCCCTCCGGAGTCGGGTCAAGCCCTTTCCTGGATGAAGGTCCCGTAAATCTCACCTTTTCTGTCCCGGAGAGGAGGGAGCTGTCTCAGCCACCGCCCCCTCCACAGGAGTGTCAGCAGGACCTGCTTTGAACTCTTTGTAAGGTGACCGTCCAAAGTTTCCCCCGACGGTCGATCCCTCGCTTGTTCTTACAATTGACGATCACAGATCTGTCAGTTAGGTCTGGAATGCAACAATTAAATCATCTCGCACCCCATTCCTTAGTCACACCAGTCCTATTTACGTAATAAGTCACCGATATATTGACTTTAGCTCGACAGCCGGTTTCCGTCCAAGGGGGGTGTGTGGTCCTGGCCTCACATTCTATACCTTTTCAAAAAGCTTCTCCAGATTAAATTCTCTAGTATCTAGTGATAAACAATCAACAAATAACTGCAATTTAAATTTTGAACACTTTCTTCTATTGTGAAATGGCAATTTAGATTCTCTCCAAAACAGACCACATACTATTTTTGCTGTTTAATGTGTAATAATTGAAGTTTAAGTAATGCTTCTAGATTAGTTTAAGAATTAATTTAAATTAATGGCTACTATAACAAGTTACTACTATTCTGTTAGCATCCATATTGTCAGAGGAAATCTGAATAAGACACTGTCCACATGTTTCCAAAAAGATCCTCACAATTGTATTTTTTTATGTATGAGAAAAGAAGTCTGCAGGAAACTAGTTTTTCTGTAATACTGTTATGTTTGATTCAGAATCATTAAATCAAACAATGCTGTTAAGTGATTTTGTCCATACAGGATAGATAAGTTCCTTTTTTGGACTAGGCCGATCTTTCTAAGGATTTATCTTGAGAGGAAGGTGTATAAGCATTTCTCCACAGATAGATTACTCTTGTACACTTCTAATGATTCAGTTGTTGTTCTGAGAAAAGTCCGTAGAGTTCAGTTTTTTCATCGTATGGATCTTTTTGTAGTTAAGTATTTGAAGATAAAGTCCACCCAAATAGGGACTACCATTTATTAATTTTGTGTTCCAGACTGTTCGATTTCGGCGACCAACATTCCTTTTTAGGCTACTAGCTGCCAAAATGCTAAAAAGTCCTTTAAAAAAACACAGAAAATATATCCAGTTAAAAATACAAAGATATTCTAAAAAAGGAACTGGTGACATACAGACGTCTTCTGTTTTCTACTATACTTTCTGAGGACATTTTTCTAATCTACATTTTCCAGCACTTATTTCTTTGTGGATAAAAGCTGAAATGCCCTCAAGAAAGTATGGTAGAAAACAGAAGACATCTGTATGTCATCAGTTCCTTTTTTGTATTTTTAATTGGATATATTTTCTGTGTTTTTTAAAGTACTTTTTAGCATTTTGGCAGCTAGTAGCCTAAAAAGGAAGGTTGGTCGCCGAAATCGAACAGTCTGGAACACGAAATTAATAAATGATGGTCCCTATTTGGGTGGACTTTGTCTTCAAATACTTAACTAGTCCTTAGAGTTGTTGGACACTTAATCAAATGTTCCGTTTTGCATTACTATGAAAGTAACACAATTGTATAGTAACTCTCACCCTTAGCTGTCTTGATGAGTCACTTTGGGTGAGTTTTCCATATTACTCTCCTTAGTATTTTTTTGAAACAGTTTCTTTTGTTGTGCCTGTCCATTTGGTTTCTTGAAATTTTCTGCGAAGTTTGACAAATTCCTTGTTGGAAGCCATCCCTCTTCTTATAAGAGTATGTATTCTTTCATGTCAGAGTCTATCTTTTGTAGGAAACAGTCTGCTACTTTAATATCAACAAGCTGTTGAAATGTCTATACCTGTTTGCTACTGAAATAGTATTTAAACAAAGCTTTCAAGTAGCTTGTAAATTGATGCCAAGTTTCATTAGATAGTTATTTGGTTTGATAGTGTCATTTGTATTTTGCTAGAGATAACTTAAGCTCTTTTAGAATAGCTGATTTGAGTTGTACATAATCAAGGATGGATTCTTCTGGAAGATGTAGAATGGCAGACCTACACTTTTATGAGAGTAATGAGTGTTACTTTTACTTTCAGTTCTTTGGGGATTTCAAAAGTAGTGAATAATTCATTTAGATCAAAAAGTAGGTTGAAACTTTGGCACTCTCATCGGGTATTTAAGACAAGATGACTATCATTCTTTTCTTATACCTGTCCATCTCATTAATTCCTGTTGCACTATTCGTACTGCCATTTTAATCATTGACTGATGCTTCCTTTTCTAGTCTGAGGCATTCCATAGCCAGTCCTTCAAGCCTAACCTTAGTCTATAGTTCTATTTGGTGTTTTCTTATTTCCATTTGTATTCTTTTTTCTTCTGCTTCCCAATAAATCATTCTCTTTTTGCTTCCACTTCAATCTGCCTTAACTTATTTTACAACTCTAGTTTCTTTTAATTTTAATTCATTATCCTTGTATGTGAATTATCCTGGACCATAGTCCTTCCTATTCCTTTTTAGCTTCCAATCAGATTTCTTCATTATCGGAGTGTTTTGAATGATCCATATTGATATTTGATTGTGTTTTGTCTTGGTTTTTGCTTTTTATTGTCCCCAGCCATCATTTTGCTGGAGATGATTTTGTAGCATAGTAAAGAAATTTTAAGTGAGCACAAGAAATATAATTAGAATTGACTCGCCTAAACTTTCATGTCATGGAGTATCTTCTTTTAGAGTCCCATTTTGAAATTCATTCTTTGAATTTCACCATTTGAAATGTTTGATGTTCTTGTTGAGATTCATTCATTGTTTTGCTGATCTTGCCATGATCTTATTGAAATTCTATTGACATTCCTGTGGACTTTGCCGATTAGGTTTTTGAGAAATGAAAATAAAGAAGAGTTTGACACTGTGATTAAAACATAAGTAAAATTAATGTTTGTCTTGTAAGATTTCCAAAAAGGAATTAATTGGAATGGATATATAATATTTTTTGTTAACTAAGATGTCTTGACAAATTCAGAAAATATTTTAATTTTAGGCTTTACAAGAACAAGTTGGAGATGGAGAAGCCATTGTTGCTGCCATGGCATTTGAAGTTTCTGAATTGCAAGCAAGATTAGCATCTTTACAAGCAGCTAAAGGTATTTTTCAGTTTTTTAAAATTTCAAAATATAATCTTTTTATATATACAGTATAAAATGTGACTCAACATGTAAATTTAATAATCTTACAATGATTTGATTTTTGCTGTTTTGATATTAATAGAATCAAGTTTATGTGTTTTTATTTTCATTTTATATAAAAACTTTTTTAGGTTGTTTGTTTGCCATAAATTTTAATCAATTCTTGTCTCATTTTCAAAATTCTGCTATTCTAAACCGTTCAATATTTTAATTTTAATTTAGCATTTACTTTCAGTTATAGTTTTTTAAATACTTATATTTTGGTTATGGTTTATTCACAATTACAAATATATAACTGGATGGATTAGATTATAAATAATTCAAATAATTTTTAACTATTGATACATCAATAATTAATCTTTATCCATTTATTTTCTTAATTTTTTTTTATTTTGGCTTTTCATTGATTTATTTATTTATTTAAAACTTAAAAACAGTTTTCAGATTTTAAATATAGTAAAAAACAAATATTTAATATTATAACAACATTTATGAAACATGTTTTATTTTATTTAAGACATTGAAATTTTCAATTAGATTCTAGCGAAAAATGTACACAATGTGTATTGTAACCTCTGGTTATGCATGCAATCTCCAGAAGATGGTATTAAAAAATATAATGCTTTTTCTATGGAAATATTCTTCCATAAAAAAGCCATAGAAAAAATTGTTTTAGAATTTTTGGAAAATGCAGGCCTCGGAGTCACTCGCTTTTCTGACTTGTACTCACTTTTTTTGAAGTACTTTCACTTTTCTCACTTTTCAGGTCATTTTATTTTATTTAAGACATTGAAATTTTCAATTAGATTCTAGCAAAAAATGTACACAATGTGTATTGTAACCTCTGGTTATGCATGCAATCTCCAGAAGATGGTATTAAAAAATATAATGCTTTTTCTATGGAAATATTCTTCCATAAAAAAGCCATAGAAAAAATTGTTTTAGAATTTTTGGAAAATGCAGGCCTCGGAGTCACTCGCTTTTCTGACTTGTACTCACTTTTTTTGAAGTACTTTCACTTTTCTCACTTTTCAGGTCATTTTCTCACATTTTTGGTCATTTCCACATGTTCAATTAAGATGTGGGACCAATCAAAAATAATTTTAAAGCCAAACGATCAGGCAAATTATCGGACTATTGAACTAGAATTTTCTGGAAGAAAATACTCGGCTCTGAGCGGGACTCAAAATCGCAACTTTTGCTTAGTGTTGTTAGGTTATAGGAAACAAAAATTCCTTTCATGTATATAAAGTCTTTCATGCACTTAAAAAATCCCTCTCATTACAAATTCAGAAGCCAATATTAAGCCAATATTAATTAAAGTTATGTACTCATGCCATATTGTTGTTATTAGCCAAAATCTAGTTCTTCAGAGTTGCATTTCTATCTATGGGGATTAAAAATAAGTATTTTAAGCATCACTACGTTTTTGGCTAAGAAAATCCCTTTGTAGGGAAAAAAACACTATGACGAGGCATTAATCTCTAAAGCTGACAACACTGCTGCCGCTTCTAAGTTTAAAATTAACATAAGATAGTGGCGTAACCTCCTACCTCTAGACAAATTATTTCATTTCTGACCATTTAATTATTTTTGTTATAGCTCAATAATTTGGCAAATCATTTGATTTTAATTAACAATTGGGTTATGAGAATATGGAGTTGTTGTTTACAAGAATATTTTTTACTTTATTTATCTTTAAATAATTTCATAAACTTGAGTTAAATACATTAAAGTTATTTTAATGATTTCAAAGCATATTGTTAATGTTTAATCACATCTATATATTCCTAAATGTATGTGTAAATTGACTACAAGTATAATTATTCCGTGTAGTAAGTATTATTTTCATAAAACTTTATTTGTGAAATATCCATTTTTTAATCTCTTCTCTTGTGCCAATTATAAGTGTGCATTAATTGAGACTAAAAAAGTAAATGAAAATGTAAATTCATATTTACACATGGAATTTTTAAATTTATTTGGTAAATTTTAAGCATTGTAAGAAGTAAAACACGTGATTTCTGGCGGTAAAAATTTTCACGCGCATCCCAAAAGGTTAACAATGTTGTAACGATGTTGCTTTTTATTCATCTGCAGGAAAAAGTTCCTTGTTATTTATGAAATCATTAATAAAACATTATTTTACTTATACTATTTGAAATGTTTATTTCAGATTTATTAATTTATTTTGAAATCAATATTTACACGTCTCTATTCTATCTATTAAAAATATATAATTTATCAATATAATATTCATATAATATAATATTGTTTAGTTTCTAAAATAGACTAATTTATTTATACAGATAGTGTAAAAGAAGAAAATAAAGAAACGGAATGTAAATCTCCAACGAATCAGCAGTTAGAAGAAACAACTGAGAATTGTAACTTAGTAAAAGAGACCAAAGATGATAAAGAATCACAAACGCCTGACATGGAACTTCCCCTACAGGAAGTCATAATGTCCAAAGATGCAGACATACATAAGATGTCTGAATTGCAGGACAACAAATTAGAGAACATGCCGGTGACATGACCTTCCACAAGACAAACCACACCAGTGCCATTAAGAATTTTTCTGCCAGTATGTTATTTTTAATAGACCTTGCATTACCCTATCCTTTACAGTCTCACAAATTTCCACAAGAAATATTTTTTATTTTATGCCTATCAATCAGTCACTTTCTGCAAAAAAAGAGAAGAATGTTTGTTACATCTAAAAATATTCAACAATTGTATAAATCAGTGTTTATTCCTTGTAAATATTTGATAGAAAATTAATTTCAACTATGTAAATTTAACAAATAGTGTTTCTAAGATATTTCATGCCATTTGTGTAAATAGCAGTATTTACAACTGCACAATAAAGGAAATACTTGCTCATTGTTAATGTACTACTTAAGTCACATTTGTCGGAGAAGGGGAGAAAGAAAATGTGGGTTTGTTTTGAACCCCAAATTATGATAAAGATTTAACACAGGATAATCACATGGATCCTTCTGGCAGAACAGATTGCAAATATAAATATGCTGCAGTCATTCTGCCAAAAATTATCGGTGACATTCGTAGTTATTCGAAGGTTATCGAACAAATTCAATAGAATGGTAATTTTTAATGTCTAAAATTTTTCTCTAGTCATTTTTAAGATTTTTTAATCAAAAAAATATATATGATTAGATTGTAAAATATGGTCGCAGATAATAGTTTTGTAAAAATGTGGTGGAAATATGGCAGATTTTATTCTATGGGCCAATTCCAAATTTTAAATTGAAATTCTCCTGTTCCAAATGTATATTGTATCCTCTCAAATTATGAATTAAAGCGAGATTTAGAAAAGCTCCATTTTTATTTAATTCCTCCTATAAAAAGATGAATAACATTTAATAGTATTTGTTCAATGAATTAAATTCACATATTAACCTAAATCAAATTTATGCACAAGATCTTTTCTAATATTTAGAAAGGAAAGGATAATGCTACATATTACTAAGAAGCATAAATTCTATTAGCTGCATGAGTTAGATTATTAGTAATTGTATAATAAGTGAACAAAATGAAATTTTAGGAATAGAAGAATACATCTGATTTTTAAACAAAAAAATCTAACACGATTAATCTAGTAAACTGTTGAACAATAATTGCTGATGAAACTTTTTAGAATGCTAGATTGGTTTTTTTTTTAATTTATATAAAGAATGAAATTTTGGAGCAAATATTTATCAGTAAAGTTATATACAGTATTTGACATCTTACCTTAATTTTATATAAGATTCCAAAAATTCTCAAATTTTCTTTCTTTTGAAAAATCTTAAATTTTTTTTAAGATTTTATTTTTCCACGAACAAGTCATTTTTGTATAGTTGATTTTATGGCATCATAAATTTATTATTCAGAAAATATTTCAATATTAACTAAATTAGTATTAGGAGAGATTTACTTTTTTGATCAATTTTACATAAAAAGAACCATTAATCTTTAACTTGGTTATTTATAGCTAGTTCATACATAATTCTTTTATCTTGAAATAATAAATTTCAACATTTACAAGCCCAATTAAATAGTAGTATTCATAATTTCTATAGAACTTATAATTTTTGACACAAAAATCAAGTTGATTTTGTATACAAAATGTGATATCCTCATTTAATAACCTTAATATAAAACTAGCTGTTATCTGTGGCTTCACTCATGCAGAATTTGTAATTTGATAGAAATAACCCTCTCTTGGTACTTCACAAAGATTCTCATTCATTAGTTGTTTACAAATTTGGTAAAATTACTGATTTTTGTTTGTTTCAAATGAAGCCATTCTTCAGGTTAAGCTTTAATCCTCTCCCCCCATGGGGGAATTTTGAAAAATCCCTTCTTAGTGCATTTTCATGATGTACCCTAACTGTGTACCAAATTTCACTTCTAGGTTCAGTAGTTTGCTCTGGGCAATGATGAATCAGTCAATCAGGACATGTAATTAGATATATAACTTTTAGATAAATCTTGAGCTCAGCCAATTTAAAAAAAATAGTGAATACCAGATTTTTATTTTCAAAATTCAGTTTTTATTATATATTAGTAACAGACATATACTGATTATGCTTACAAATTGTAATAATTTTATTTTTCACTTGCATACTTGTGAAAAATTGTATATTGAACAAAGATAATGATTATGCACATAACCTTAGTTTGCACAGTCAAAGAATAGACATGAGTGAGATTGAGCTAGAAGGGTCTGACAGATGAAAGGTGTGGAAAGTGATGTGATTAACATATGATGAGTAACATTAGAATTAAGAGTAAATAATAAAATTTATAAAAAATCCAGCAATGAGTTGCTTAACTTTCCCGACAACATTTGGTGGTGCCATCAGTTATATTTTATTAAATAGAAATTTTTTTTTAATTATTATAAAATGGCAAAAAACTTAATTTTGAGGGTAGGGATGGGTTTTATAAAAGATTGTAAATGCTAATAATGAGTAAAATTGTCATTAAGTCAGACCCAAGATAGACACACGACACCCTTTATCTTCCCAGTTCCTCGATCTTTAGCCACCAAAATTTAATAGCATCAATCCCCTACACAAATCTTGCGAAATTTGAATAACTCTTGCACTTTTTATGTAAAGAGGGTGAATAAAATCATGTTACACACACATACAGAAAAACTCCTGAATTCCTCAACATTTCAAGGTTCCAAGTCCAAAAATATAAAAATCTTGAGGGGGGTCATTTTTTGACCGATTGTCATACTTTCTCTCGTATAACAGCCAGGAAAGTAAAAAATAAAGCAATAAAGATGGTATAAAAATGCTTTATAAATGTGAAGAAACAGTTGAAAGAGATCAGATCCATGTTCCAAGAAATACTTGCCTATCTCCTTTCATCTGACATAGATACAGGTCAGGCTGACTCATGTCAACTCTTTTGGCGCACGTACTATAACATTACACAAATCAAGACAAAGCCAATTATTTCAAAATTGAATTTGTCTATAAATTATTTTTTAAGCTTTTTGTTCCTATAAATACACATTAGTCTTCTATGTTTAAAGCCTTCATGCTTTTCATTTTTAATCTAAAACTTAGTGGCAATGAAAAATTTTCATGGGATATTTTATTATTTTTTTTTTTAATAGAAATTATACCTGCAATTGCTTTTTAGTATACTGAAATCTTGAGTCTTTATGATTTATAACATCAAGATTAAATAATGACTCAAATTAATTTATGTAACAATTTCCAAATTCAGAAGGGTATTTTTTATATAAAAATTGTTAAATTCACAATAGTTGTGAATTTAACAATTTAAACTACTATAGTTGTAATACAAGCAAGAAAATTTAATTTTCATAAATTTTATAGATGTTTAGGACTTTTTGGTATATTTGATATGAATGCTAATACAAGTTGACAGCATGCTGACTAAATAAATATAAGATTAATTAGTTCAAAACATTTTATTGATCTGGTTATTGAAAATATTCCAGTAGCTCTTCAGGGAGAAAAAGTAAGATCACACTAACTTGCTTTCAAACAACTCAACACTGTATATATCAAGGGTGGGCAAGCAAGAGTTCAGTGGAAGCTGAAATGTAGGTTTTGCAAAATGCATGGGAGCTGCAGTTCTGTACTGTGATTTTATTACATAATATAAAACAAATATTGAATTTTTTAATAAACATATTTTCACAAAATTGTGGAAATAAAATTGTAAAAGTAATAATAATAAGCAGAAATTAACACTTTCAGCAAGAGCTGCATGTAACTCAAAAAGCAAATGCGTTGCATTTGCCCACGTCTGGTATATACCAAAGTAAGTATAAAGTGCTTTTAGGTTATATCATATTTAGATCATATACCTAAAAGTATCACTTTTTGCCAATCAGTTTCAGTAATTATCAAAATTTTACAAATTTTTGTCATCTCTTTAATGTTTTATGCATTTTAACACTAAATAATTATGGTTTTAACATGTTCAGTGTAAAAAAAAACCTTTCGTACCTTTAAAAGGTTTATATAAAATTTTTATTAGGTAAATGGCATTCTGTTCCTAATATGTGAAAGCGGGACTTCCTGTAATATCACATTTACAAGAACAATATTTAATATAGCTAATACCCAAACATTTTTCATATATTCTCATTGTGTGTTGTTAATTTGTTGTAAAAAGTCTAATATTAGCACCAGCATCTAAGAATCCACAACTCTCAATTTTTTGTAATGGTAAATTTCATACTCCAAAAACTAATTATATAAATTGATATCCATACATATAAAAACACTGCTAAAAAAAATATCATTAGGATTATACATTCTATTAAAGTAAATTTTCACCTGAGAAAATTATTTTAAGTTAATACTGTATTCCAATTTAATATTCTTGTATTTAAAAAATTTTTTATGCTTATTAGCTTTGGTATAATTGAGTTTACAGAAGAAAAATTATTTTCAGAATTTTATATAAAATTGTTTTGAATTAATGAATTGAATTTATAGTTGTAAAGCATACACTGTTGATAGAAAAAAAAAGGACATTTAGGATACTTGTATATAAAAGTTTGGCTACTTTCCAGATTCTGGATTAATAATCATCTGGCATACAAATTTGTTTAGACATATGGTATCTAAAGACTCCTGGAAATATTTATTTTTGCAGGTTTCTCAATCCATCTTGATAGTGCTGACTTTACTGTTATCTCCAGTGATTAAAGAGGAAGTGTAAACATATCGAAGCATACAGTAACATTTTCTAATTCAAAATGTACATCAATGTCTGAAATGTTCAGATTGAACTTTTACAAAATGTGATACAATGTCCAGTAACCCAGTACCACTCTGGTTCTGTAGTTGCTAGATTAATGAACTCCTACTGTATTTGAATAAGAAAAATAAGGACTCAAGAGATTTTGCATTTTAAAATTTCAGGTTCATTATTTACATAGAAAGATAAGGAAACTTAATGCTGTCTTATAAATTGAAATTTTAATTCACATAGCAATTTTCAACTGCAGGTGTACAAAATTTCAGTTAAATAGTTCATTAAATAGTTCATTAATAAAAAAAAGTTCATTCATTAAAGATTTTTTTTTACTATAATATGTCAATTTTATGTGTTTTTTAGAGCTTTCTAGTCTGTAAAATATCTCTCTCTCTCACATCAATCAGTAGTTTAGCTCCCAAAACTTTATACATTATTCAATTAATGATATAAAATAAGAATTAAAAATATTAGAGGAAAATGCAAGTTAATGACACTTAGTTTTTTAAAATAATATACTTTTTAATAAATTTTTTCTTCAGAAACCAAAAAAAGTTGGCTTCCAAAATGCTTTACAGCATAACTCACTATAAACAATAATTAATAAACAATTAAAACACAATTAATTGAATACATTTCAATATAGTTGCATCTATTTATATATAATATATACATAATATATATTATATACCTAAGTTTATTGAAATTAAATTTTAGACAATATATAACATAACCTATCAAACTTAAAATAAAATTCTATATACAATCCATAAATCTACAAAAGTTTAATAGTGGATATTGCACCATTAACAATGCTTTTATATATAATTAAGTTATCTACATCCAATACATATTTTGAAGACGGAACAGTTCGTAGACTTCAAACTTTTAAATGCAACTTGGAAGATTCCAATAACATTAAGAACATATTATATGTATTCACATTCATCTGCTTTTCTTTGCACACAAACAAGATCTGGATCCGCGAAATACTTTATCTGTGTAGATCAAATAAAATTTTAAATTACCGTTGATAAAATAATTACTGTGCGTCTCGTTGAATCTACTTCTTAAAATTAACACTAGATAAAATTTTTCGCGGCCAAATCGGAAAAAGGGGAAAAACATCACAGCTATTTAAAGTATTTATAAATTAAGAATGTCAAATAATAAATATTCCAAAAATATAAATAATTTCAAACTTATTAGATGCACCAATGTCGGTCAAGAGATAAAATAGTGGATGGACTAAATACTGTTCTGTCGTCCTCAATGTACTCGTTTGGTCAATAAAGATTACAGATTTAAATATTTTCCTAATAAATGCTTAAAATAATTTCTAATAATTCTTCAGAAAATCAATTATTTTTTCTCTGTTCTTACTGCAACTGCAGCTACCAGTGCTGCACCTCTACCACTTCCATCTTCTGATAACATTAGATCAAACTAGAAAAATACCAGATTGTTAGATTTTTTTTTTCTTGTTTTCGTTTTTTAATTTTGAAATACTTTATGTATACCTTATATTCAGGATTTGTTAATTCTGCAACTTTTTCTTCCATAAGTCTTTGAAAGTGTGGATGATATCTATACACGGAGCCATCAACTCCTACTGTTGTGTGAGGTCGTTGCATTCTGTTTAGAATTGTTGCAATTCCTGTTTGATGATAAATTTATTAGTAAAGAAAAAGAAACATTATGATAATTTAAAAGCAGAAATTACCAGCAGATACAAGATGAGCTGCACGAACCGAGATTCTCGCACAAATTAATTTCATACACTCAAAATCTTCCTCTCTGGCTCCCAAGATATTCATCTTCTCAAGAACTTGTTTTGTTTGCAAATAGCTATTCTTTGGATCACTGTTATATATATTTAAATAATGTTAATCTAATTCTAATTAAATAAAAAACAAACACAAAAACTCAAATGTTACCTTTCAATCATAGATATATATTTTGATTTAAAAGCATATGGTGTGTTCATTTTTGTTGTTGTTTTGCCATCAAATAAAAGTTTCTGGTTGATTGCATCAATAAAAACCCTTCGAGCAATTTCTCCCATATACATTCCAGATATCATTTTTTCAAATCTGTGCGAAAATTTTGCATTAGCATCTTAACTTTGTTTCCAATAAAACAATTTATGAAATGATACTTACAGTTGCACTCCAGGGTTTAAAGAAGCTGCATCAACTTCTTTATCATATTTGGTGCGAATAAATTCAAGGCATCCATTATCACCAAAAGCACCCCATTCTGTATTAATTATTACTTGTTGTGGTTCATCACTAGCTCCATCCCATAATTTCACATTCTCTAACCGTTCCATATAGCAAGCATTAGTTCCAGTACCTTATTTCAGAAAGTAATATTTAATTATTTTCATATAAAATTATCACAATATTGCTTTATAAAGTAAAGGATTTTATTTACCAACTATAATTCCAGCTCTACATTTTGGATTTTTATGAGCACAAGACATCAACGTTCCTGTAGTGTCATTTACCACTGCTACAACATCAATATGAACATTCTAAAAATAAAAATTTGAATTATAATTCCATAAAAACAATGTTAAAAAAGGCATTAAAAGCACTCAGTTCACACACCTTTCTACCCATGGCATCTCTTAATAATTGAACAACATCTTCATTTTCTACTCCTGTACATTTAAATCCTTTGGTCCATGTTATCAGTTTAGCCTTTGTGAGACCTTCTTGTTTACAAGGGAAACTGAATGTAAATCCTAATGGCAAGTTATTTGGCAGTGATCTAGATTTTATGAACTTATTTAGACAATCAGCAATATGATCAAAGAGCTGAAAGAAATCAAATTATCCAATTTAAAAATAAAATACTTAATGTATAACATTAAAATAAAACAATTGATATTAGGATTAAAAAAAATACATAATTTAGTGTACACGTAGTCCTGCTTGAGAAGTTCAAGGTAAATTATATTTCTCAAGAACAATTGAAATAAATTTTTATCGAAAAAATTACAAGGAAAGTATAAACGATATATTTTCAAATTTGGATTATTTTTTCGATTATTTCCTCATTTATGAAAAGGTCAATAAGTCTCCTTTAATAAATATCTAAATTATTAATCCTTACTTGCGTTCCACTTCCCAACATTATATATTCTGGTATGGCATAGATTTCATTATCCATCATAAAACTATCTTTTTCCAACTCAATAAGTAGTACTCTAAAGTTGGTTCCTCCAAGATCCAAAGCCAGAAATTTTCCTTGTTCTATTGAGAATAATGAAATTATATTCAAGAATATAAAAATAAAATTTCTTGCAAATCAAAATGAAAATTACCAGATCCATTAGGGACATCTCGGACATAAGTTATTAACATTTTTAATGTTCCATTGACAGTAGTATCGCCTTTCAGCCCACAATTGAAATTATGGAGGAGGATGTTGCTCACTTTCTTAAGAGTATCATTTGGCAGCACAAGATCTCGAGTCAGAGCTTCGATCTGAAAAAAATTAATTATATTAAAAATTCTAGAGGAAAAAAAAAACAGGAATAAAATTAAAAGTTGATAAACTTGAAAGAATTATTTAAATTTATTGTCCTTGACATAATGAAATATGCAAGGCCATCTTAATATATACTAACATGAAATTTTTATATAAAGATAATTTTAAAGTCGTAATTATTGTAGAGTGATGAAATATTAAAATATGGCTCTGAACAAATAACTTAATAAACAAGCTTTCTAGGTCATAACTGCATAATAAAAATAAATATATTTTTATAATAAGAAATTATATATATCACATATGCATTATATTCTTAAACTGATTCTTGTGATTTATAGGACATTAAAAATTTTTAAAGTAAATTTTTATATATATTTTCTTGTTAATCTCTCTAAATATAATAATAAAAAAAAATCTAAAAGTTCTGTGAAATAACTTTTAAAATTTTAACCTTCAAATTTTTAAAACCTGTTTCAAAAAATTTGAAATTACACAAAGAATTTAAATAGCTTTAAACATATATTTTTATATTTTCTGAACATTTCTGGATCTTGGAATACTTTTTCAATGCAGTCTTTTTATAAAATGTTATTTGAAAAAATAAAAACTATGGATTTAAAATTAAAGAATTAAAATTTTTGCAATTGTTGAAGAATCAATACTAAAGTAAGCTACACAGTAGCAGAACTTTGTTAATTCAAAGTTCATTCACTAAGAAGATTAAAATAGACACTCCTTAAATAACTGGAACTGAAACATGTGTTTAAAATATAAATTTAACAATAGTTTCATCTTCTATGAAAATTTTTAAGATGGAACTATTGTTAAATTTATATAAAAATATATTTCGAGATAAATTTAAATAAAAATAAATTTCGAGATAGTTTTCAAAATGTATATATAAATATATATTTACAGATAGAGATAACATTTGCTTATAATTCAGGCAAGACTGATAGCTACTGATAAAGTTATTTTGAGGCAATGCAGTCTTGTATGTAAAGTATTTATCAGTTAACACTTTAAAAATAATCAAAAAATTAGATATTTGAAAAGTTTTGCAAAGATGATATTCTTGGAATAAAGAAAATGAAAGTAAATAATTCAAGATTGGCATAGAATATTTTATATAACAATTTTTTACAATTTTAACAATTAAATTATGAATAAGTAATATAACTTTAATTAGTTTAGTACAGATTTAAAGAAATTACTACAAAAATAAAAACAAAGAATAACTGAAGCCAAAAGTAAATTTTTTAAATGATGCAATTATCAGAGCATGGCTTAATCAAAGACTGTAAACATAATAAAAATAAAACATATATATTTCATTTAAATTATTAAAGCTTATATTTGATACATCCTGTTAAACTTTAAAACAGTGTGTTACCATAACATACAGCATTTAAAAGTCTAAAGACAAAAAAGAAAAAAAAAAAAAAAATCAATAAAATTTTATTGATAAATTCCTAAACAGTAATTTCAAAATTAGATGCAAAGTGATTCAGTTCATTCTCTAAAGCAATTTTTTTTTTATCTTATGATCTGTTATAACAATAAAAACAAACCAGTTTGTTGTTTTACTAAACAAATTTTTTGTCTTTACTAAATTTTTTATATGAAAAACATTCAATACAGTTTAAAACAATTAGAAAAATGAGTAGATAGCATCCTTCCTGAACCTCCGAAACAAAAGAATCATTTTCGAGAAACATAATTGCACATATAGAAATAGCCATAAAAGATTTACGTAAAGTTTAAAAGAAGAATATTTTTAAATTTCATTTCCTTATTCTAAAAATTTATTCTTTTTTAAATAATAAGTTTTAGATATTTAAAGAATAAATATTGAAACTTCTAATAGTAATAGTTTTTAAATTTAGTAAATTTTTCACTTAATCACATTCTAAATGGAGCCAAACTTAGAAGAATGTTTTATAGATTTAAAATGGGATTTTTCAACAATATCTTCCTTTCCAGCTTCTTCTCTCAGGTGTAATTTTTTATTTCATGTAATCTACATATTTCTAAATTAAACTATAATAATGTAGGGAGAATGTTAATCTAAATGGATGAAAAAAATAAAATAAAATAAAATAAACAGTTTTTATAATTTCTGTAATGAAACTAAGTTAATTAACTTCAGATCAAATATATAATATATAATTTCTTTTTATATGTAATTAATTATCAGTGATCTGTTTAAGAAACATGTTTGGAAGAAAATATAACTGAAACTGGTTTTTTCGAGCTTAGAAGAAACATTGAATACGGCGAAACTAAAGGAGAAAAATCGGCATTTATTCCACATTCCTTTCAGAAAGAGATGATGAGATTTTGGAATGTGAAGTTCAGGAGACGTTCGAGGTCAAAACGGACAATCGAATTATTAGCTCTCGTGTTAACATCTAGTCATTTGTACAGTTATAAATAGTATCTGAAACGTAAACAGATTTGAAATTGATATTTACCTTAGCTCTTTTATCCTTACTTGCCATTTTCTTCGGATAAGATAAGCGAGACTCTACGATCCACCAGATTTCCAAAGTGACGTCTGATGACGTAGGGAGGTACTTTTTAAAAGCTGTATATTTCGCAAGTTCTGACGTCACGGAAGGTGTGTCTTCTGATCCAATACGTGAATTAGTACACGTATACAGTCATGTGATTGAAATCTTTATTTAATTCTATGAAATTCATGTTTTAATATAAATGTTATCAAAAGTAATAATTTTAATGTTGTGTAGACGTTATCTACTTAATTTAAGGATTTTGACTGAGATGACATCATTCTAATGTTTAAACAGTGAATGACTATTGGCTGGAACACGTAATCGTACGATGACGTCATTTACGTGTATTTGTTCCGTTTGCTTAGCATTAAGTCTTTCCAGGAACTTAATTTAGGGAAAAAGTTGATGCCATTCTGCCTATTTTCCATTAAAAGAAATGAAAGTTTTTGTCTATTCTCATTAAAAGAATTGACAACATTGATTATAAAGATTTAAATAAATTCAATAATCTTCGACGTATCCTTTTGTTTATTTTTCAAATTTATAAATTGATTGACGTCATTTTTTAAATAAACACCTGTTTTTCTATTTAAGATACATTAACAATAGGCCTATAAATTGACTGATTTTTGAATCAAAATTCAACATCACATTGATACGTAAATATTTAATCCAGGGCATTAGAAATTGTTAAAATAATAATACGCGACGTATAATAATTATTCGGATATTTAAAATATTAAAAGTTTTGTGACGTCAACGAAATTTTAAATTTTCAATTATGACGTCGATTATTTCCCATCAAAAATAAAGCACGCTCTCAAAATAGTTCGCGCCATTCCGGAAATAAATATTTATCGATTTAAATGCATTTATTTATTGTTAGTGTATTTCAGTCATTAGTTTCTGTATAGTATATGTCTCATTATTTAAGCAACGATCAGTTATGCAATTATGTCGTTAGAAATTATGTTATGTTCTAGCAATTTTTTACGTTTGCGTCATTATATCCGCTAATAAAATAATTTTCAGCTATCTTTTACAAGTGTTTATCTATTAGTCAGACTTTTTCCCTACTGCTCTTTGATATCTTTACTCTTAAACCGCTTTCTTTTTTTCGTTTCCGGGAATTTTTACTATCATTTTTTAAAATGAAGTTCAAATTTTATAAAATGCCTTTAAATATTTCTTGCTTTGAACATGAAAAATGCGTCTGTTTTCAAATGTAAAAATGTTTTCAATGCCGTTTCTTATGAAATTGTATGTTCAACTGTCTCTAGATACATTTATATTTGTGTAGGCTACATAGTATTTGTTTTCTCATTTATAAGTCTAATTATCAATGCGTAGGGTTATTTTGAATTCAAGAGTATATCAAAAGTTTTACTCGAAGTATAACGTTTTCTCGGAAATAATTGATTTTCTAATTTCCGGACTTTTCCGATCTCTCTCGGGATGTTTTCCTCTTTTAGTAAAATCTTCTAAATTAAACACTAAAACAAAAAATTTATTTAGTTCGCCAGAATATATCTCAGCATTAAATCAGAATTTATTTCTTAGTGTTTACAGTGAGTAAGCTAATTTAAAAATGACGTCAAATTGCAATTAAAGTACAGACATTTACGTGTGTCCAACGTTTCCTTGTTACGTGCATACATGTGTTATGTTCTTTTTAAAACGTTATATTTATACGGGTTCTTAAATTTAGATAGTTTTTCGTAAACTTGTTATGTTTTTATTATGTAAGAATAACAAACTGAGCTTATGTAAGTTTATAATCTGCTATTATTGCTAATTTTTTTATTGAAGATGTTTGAATTTTTAGACAAAATGATCTATAAAATCCTGCAAAACAAAATATTTTATCCCGAACCTCTTTTCTTTTAAGTAATTTTGCAATCTATTTTTAATTCCTAGAATATATTTCCAACTTGTTTTAAATGTTACCTCATTCTTATGTTATTGTCTGAGACGGTGCAACAAGTTCTACAAATTGTATCAAACTGTACATAGGATTTTAAAGTTTTTTTTTTTNCTATTTTTAATTCCTAGAATATATTTCCAACTTGTTTTAAATGTTACCTCATTCTTATGTTATTGTCTGAGACGGTGCAACAAGTTCTACAAATTGTATCAAACTGTACATAGGATTTTAAAGTTTTTTTTTTTTACACACAATAAGTATTTCCCAAACAGGTCAAGGAACTAATTTTATTATTATTATTATTTCTTTCTTTGCCATATTTCTTTTAAATTCATATAATGACGTATAAAATGTTTCCACTACTTCACCTTGAATTGTTTTGTGTCATAAACTATAATTCCAAACTTGGTCTTTGATCTGTTTAGGATTAAATTTTTAATACATGTTTCTCACTATTCTTGGACTCTTTCCCATAATACTGTAATATATAATAAACAAATTGATATTTCCTGTTAAAATTTGATCCCGTTTTAGTTACATTTTCAAATGGAGTTCTTAAAAACGATTGCGTGTAAATCTGGGTTAAAATGAATTAAGCTATAAAAATTTTACTCTCAGTTTCTGAGCATATGAATATCGTAAAGTAAAATTAGGTAAGGTCAAATGAATTTGTGCAATAATGATAACGTATACAAATCAAGTTCGGTCGTTGACACTTAAATAATATTTTTTCCATAAAATATATGAATAATCCAAAAAATGACAATCCTTAAAGCATAACAGAATGAAACTGCCATCTTGTGAAAATTATTCGTACTTTATTAATTCTCTTTCCAGAAAGTGGCTGATGTTACATCACTTTGGGTACTTGCAAAGCTGTATAATGATCGTTATTAATCAGAAATCCTACATTAAATAAAAGTGTGATAATACAAAATTTACTATTCGTTGGGTTATAATATAATACTATTTAATATACTTAATATATGAATTACTACTACTATTATATTATTTAATTAATGTTATATTTCTACTCTGATGAATGAATTATCAATTTTAGAACCAAAGAATCTGAATAATATAGTATTTCTATATTATATTACTCAATTCCTTTGGTGAACTGAGTTAAAATATTATTTAGAGCCATTTTTTTTCGGTTTTATAAGTCAAGTTAAATATTTTTTTTTATTTGCAACACAATTTCGTTTTAGTAATAGAATTACATTACAATAAAATGTGTTAATAAAAACTAATCTAATCATAAATAGTTTAAGAACATTTGTTTTCAATTATGTTAAATTTTGACCTTGTAAAATTATTCCTTTATCATAAAACTATATTAAATTAGTTTAATTTATTTTATAGTCATTGATTCATTGTCTGGAAATAAAATTTTATGTATTCTTCTTTCAATTATCATTTGAAAAAATATAAGGACCGGCAGTTCATACATTCTAAAATAAATTGTTTCGTTATGAATTTCATTTTTATAATTCAAGGACATTTATATTCCATCACACATGATCTGGACTAACGACGTTTCACATGAACAGTTAGAAATGAGTTACCTCACATTCGCTTTTACTTTCCCGACTGTTATAACATAACATGGAGAAGTATTGTAATCGTGTCAAATTTGGCCCTCCGGTTTTTTGCAAATCTCGACGTTTTGAGACCTCCTGACCCCAAAAGAGTAATTTAAAAAAAAACAGGAAATAATTCCTTGGATGTGTGTGTGGTATATGTATTGGCATCTGTTTCATTTAATACCTCAGGATGGGATAAAGATTAAGAAACGAAATTTGGCCTGGTAGCTCGTGTATAAGGGGCTTTGATGCTATTAAATTTTGGAGTACATAACTCGACGGGGTGGGGAGATAAAAAGGATCGTGCATCATACCTCGAGTGGAGTCGGACTGAACGAAAACTACTGATTATTGACACAATATTTCTAAAACCTCATCTCTTCCTCAAAATTAAGCTTCTTTTGCCTTTTCATAATAATTAATAACATAAAAGTTATTTTTAAATAACATCTTGGAACAGATGGCGACACACAATTTTAACTTAAGGCTAGTATCATAGTTTTTTTTTTAACTTACATTTTTTTAAATAAAGATTTTATCATAATTCAACAAAATTACCCCTTTCAAGCATTGTTATTATTTAAATTTTATATCCTAGTATAATTAAAAGTGATCGAACTCCTTGGTTTCCTTAATATCCAGATCTTGTGCCGGGAAAGTCGAGCCAAGAACCATTGCCAGCTTTTTTCAATTTAGGTTTATATTTAATTGAATACAAAATAATGTAAACAAGCTTATAAGTGAAAATAATATAAGTTATAACGGAAATTTTTTAATTGTGATATATATTAAAAAGTTATTTCATTAATTCAGTATGAAAAGTCTTTCTCTCATTTACACTCTACAAGTCTACGAGTATCAGCGGATAAACGGATACAGTAATAGGAGGAAATAGCACTGTACTTGGGATCTTAAGTAATGAAATTATATAAATAAGCATACAAATTACATTTTATACGTTGATTAATTTCTATTTATCAAACTGATGAAAAATGGGTTGATTACAAGAATCAACAGTTAAGGTCAATTTTTTCATTTATTTCCTTTTCCGGGTTTTATATATAGTATACAAGAGGGTTAGTATGGCGATGGTCAAAAAATGACCCCCAAGATGTTTACATTTTTGGACTCAGGGGAGCTTGAAACGCAGAGAAATGCAAAAAAATTGAGTTTTTTTCTTGTATGTATGGACTGTGTGGGAAGCACGATTTTGTTCATCCTCTTTAAAGCTTAATAACTCCTGTGATTTTGGTCGAAAATTACTGAAATTTTGCAGAACTTTTGCACGCCGGTTTGGGTGTTAGAGTAATTGATGCCATTAAATTTTGATGATAAAAGGTCAAGAGAATGGGGAGATAGAGGGGTCAGACTTAATGAAGATTTTATTCGTTATTAGCATTTACAATATGTAGGCCTATATAATATAAAATTATTTTAAAATAATATCTTATTACAGATGCACACAATTTTTAACTCTTGCCGGGAAATTACGCAACTCGTTGATGGAATTTTACTAGTTGATAGAAAATTGTATTACATGCCAAATATTTTCATTCTTTTATTTTAATATTCTGTAGATATCTTTTTTAATTCGTCAAATTTTTAGAATTTTGGAATCGTAAAACTGATTTAAAGAACGATTCGAGTGGGAAGCTCTTTTTACATTTAAAATCAGAATTTCTTTGATAAAATAGAAAAC